TTGTGAAATTAACCCTTATCCTCCTAGTCATTTCTCCATAGTTTATTGCCTCTTGATCAAAACCCTGTTCTTATTTATTTCCTTGTTTCCAAGGTATAAAAACTTTCTCTTCTGATAACTTCTCCAGATCTTCATTCTCTTCTAAAGTTTCCCACACAAACATTTGATTAAGTATGTATGCTTTTCTTCTGTTAATCTATTTTGTGCCAATTTTATCCTTAGGCTTAGTCAGAGAACCTAAGAGAAAGAGGGGAGAATTTTACCTCACTAAAAAACAGTCAATTCACTTGGACTTTTATCCTGTATAGTCTTCTACTTTGTTTGTATTTAGGAGTTCAGATTTTGGTGTGCTCTCTCAGAACTCCGTCTCAATGTTACACGTCTCAGTAACGTGTTGCCACAGAACATTCAAAGGTCAGCTCTAACATGGTTTCTTTTCTTCAGCGCATGATTAAGAATTCTCATCTCCAACCCTCAGGCCACTATCTTGCATACACTATCTTGGTGAACTTTACATTTGAAGCTAAATCTAGCTATTCTTAGATTGCCCAGTGTTGCCAGAAATGCCTGGTCAGGCTGCCTGTCCCTGCCAAAGCCAATGAGCAAAGACAAATTGAATCTCTAAGCTCACATAACTGTCAGAAAGCTGGCGATCTGAGAGAACAGCAGGTATGTTACCCCATGTTACCTTATCTCCAGCTGGCCTTTTTCTAGTGAGTTAAACACAGTTAATCATAAGCAAACAGCTCATCACAGTTGGTGTCCCTAGTCTTCTTCATGTTTTTTTTTTTAAGATTGATTTATTTATTCATACAAAAACTAGGGTGTAGGCCAGATTTATGGGGGGAGGTAAGAGGATTCATCAGAGACAGAGTGGGGAGCAGACCAGGCAGATCTACTGAAACACACTGCTGAGAGGAGCAGCGGAAGAGAAAGGAAAGGTCTGCTGCACCATGTGGATAGCTCCCTGGCTGGGATTAATCTCGTGCTGCAGTGTCTGTGGATAGCTTCCTAGTCTGAGACTTAACCCCTTGCATCACCAGGGAGGCTCTTATTCATGTTTAGCCCCCAGAATAGGTTGTTGTCTTCTTGGTCATCTTGACCCAGGTACATGCTGTTTTCGTGCACCTGGTTAGTTTCTGATGGTATCAGTGTCTGAAAATTCCCCAGCATCACTGGGGCAAGAATCTCAGTTCAAAATAAGAGTTTTAACCCAAAGAAAACAGATCACTAATCATATGGTGTTTGTATGCAGACGATGCTATGTGTGTGTACAGATTCCTAAACTAGGTATGGTTCCCTTCCCTTCCTCTCTGACCCCCATCACCAGAACAACTGCCCATTTGAATAAACCCAGTTTGATTACATTCAAATTAACAAAATTCACAGTAATCCATGGGTCAACTCAGAATTAGGTTCAAGAGAAAGAATTCTTTGTACTTGCATAATGATTAAAGGGATGCCCTTAAGAAATATTTTGACTCTAAGTAAGAATGCCATACTTATTTATGTAGTTGCTATATCTGGTGCATAAAGCAGTCTCTAAGTCCTAAGTAAATACACAATATGAAGTCCTAAACCTTTACAAATATGCAATATTAGGTAGAGTTATAAAGATAATAAAAAATATATTCAGGCATTTTTGGAAATTCAAGTAAGAAATTATCTCATATGTTCTATAATATCTTACTGTCAGGGCTGTTGAAGTGTGTAGATGTAGAAATAGATGCAAAGATGTTTTATTCAATTGAAACAAGTAAAAATTATTTATTTTTTCTTCAGTCATTTTGTATATGAAATGATAAAGATATTACTAAGTCAAAGGTTTAGTAACACATATCTTAGTTTGTACTGCACTTCTAGTGATTAAGAATGAGTAGTGCTAACATTGTCAATATTAGTCAAAAATATATACCTAAAGAAAATTTAAAACTAAATGATATTTTTCTACAAGATGAAAAATTCACTTGAAGTGAATTGCATACATACATACATAATTACAGATAGATAGATAGATAGATAGATAGATAGATAGATAGATAGATAGATAAGATATTTATCTCTCGATTGGGCAAAAGACAAAAAATTGAAAAGTAAATTGTGTGGGCCTCCCTGGTGGTACAAGGGGTTAAGTCTCAGTGCTATGAAGCGATCAGCAGGGCAGCCACTGCAGCAAGAATTCAATCCCTGACCAGGGAGCTGACACATATGTTGAAAGTGACCTCTCCTGTCTCTCCTGCTTCTCCCCTCGGCAGTGTATTTCAGTATATCCCTGCCTGTTCTGCTCCCCACTCTGTCTCTGGTGAATCTTCTCACCCCCTGCATCTCTGGCTTATACCCCAGGTCTTGTATGTATACATACATAAAATAAATCTTAAAAAAAAAAAACTAAATTGTGCATATGTTTGTATGTGTAGCTGAAAAGTTCAACATTGGAGAACACATAAAATAAGTCAAGCGGCTCTATCTTTTGCAATGTTTTATTTAGTCATCACAATTATACATCACAAGGACTTTTACCAGTTTTTTAAAAAAATCCTTTTTTGGTGAAATCAATAGTTTGATTCTTTCCACATATTAGACTAAATATTAAGTTAAAATTGACTGGTTGCTTTGGTTTTTCTAGCAAGCTAATGTTCTAGCACTTAGCAAATTAACTTTTTGGCATCTCCAAGCACTTTTTAAACTAGCATGAATTAGACAATAGCTACAACTAAAAGTATACAGCAAATAAAAGTACAGCTACAACTAAAAGTACAGCAAAAAATAAGTCTTACATCCCATGGAAAATATACTAGTTATCTGAGGAAAGAGAGGGGAGATAGAAAGGGAGGGGAGGGACTAGGACATTTGCAGAGGAGTTTTGATAGAGTATGAGAGAAGTATGAGCACATTTGGTATGCCCCCAAAATGATGTACTATGTAAATGAAAAATTAACAAAATTTGAGGAAAAAATTAATTGAGGCAAAATTTGCATACAGTGAAATAAACATAAATAAGCACTCACCTTTAGAAACTGACATCCCTCACAATGAAAAAATCATATTAACCAACAACTCTAATGCTCATTCAAATCTAGAAATATAAGAAATATTTAGGATGGCTTGTGATAAAAGCATATGGGAAGAAAAGGAGAAGAAACCTGCTTTTCCTTGTCAGACAATTTCATGATAAGAAATTTCATGATAAGTCTCCTTAGACCTATTCCACAGGGAAATAATTTAAAGATGTCTTCTCATAGTTTGACAACTATCCTCATAATTTCAGTTTCCTCATTAACTCATAATTCAAAACTGAGTAGATTCAAATCTAAATCAAATTTTGTGCTTTAAAGAAATGATATGTTGAAATATAAAGTTCTTTATTATCTTTTAAGAATTTTTCTACTTTCCATAGAAATATATTTTACAAGTGCTTTAAAAATGGCTTATTCTTTAACTTCCAAACTGGTTGATAAGCAAATCAGTGGTTTAGACATGAGATTTAAAAAGTAATAATAAGATAATAATAAAAGATGATATCTAGAAAATTAAAGATGTAAATTCCATTTTGTTTTACATTATCCTTTTAGGTGTCTTTGAAAAGTTACTTATGTTTCAAAATTCTGAGATTTATAGCTATTAAATAAAGAAAATATAACATAAAATTATAGTTAATACATTTGATGTATATTAAATATTACAGTTAGTGATCAGAAATCCATGTCAATTATTAAATAAATTATATGAAAATTAGCTTAATGCTAATTAGCCTTGCCAAAAATTCATATCAAATGCTTTTCAGAAAGAAGCACAAGTTATTGATTCAACATATGTTCAAAAATAAAAAATAAGTGCTTTGTGCTTATAACAACAGATGTACATATATATAAAAAAGCAAGATGATTTTAGTTGACAATCTGTTCAATGATTCAGCAGTCATGTGGTTTCCCCTGAAACTGTTTATATCATATAATTTTATTCCACACTGAAAATATGAGTATATGATGCTTAATGTAGTTCCAAATCTCTCCCCCCACTTCTTTTTGTTAAATTGTACCTATAATACAGTTATCTGTTAGTGTTTTCAATGGGTTAATGATGACTAATTTTTTAGTCACTTTTTCAGTGAGAGATGACGTCTATTTCCATTCCTTTATACCCAGGCTAATCTTGCAGTTTGCTTTGCTCAAAAGAATGAAGCAGAAATGACTCTGAAACTTTGAGACAGGATTAAATCTTAAGATTCTGTTTTGGAATTCTAAAGAATGATTTTCCTTGGAAACCAACTGCCATGCTGTGAGAAGACCACATTCTGTGCAAGGCCATGTGGAAGGCCACTTTTGTTTACAAACTCAGTTAAACTCCCGAAAGAGTGTCAGAATCAACTATAGTCAGGAGAATAGGACCTGAAGTCTACTCCAGTCCAGTCCAGTCTCAGATGACTGTCATTCCAGCTGACACCAGATGGCACAGAATAAAAAAATGTTTGGTTCTTATCAAAACAATCATGAGTGATACAAAACAAAAGATTGTTGTGTTTTATTACTAATTTTCAATGATTAGTTGATCTTCAATAATCTATGATCAGCTTGTTACACAGTAATAGATACTTGAAGCAATCTGTAAGAGTTACAGACAAAATGGAGTGTGTTTAGAGAAATCAAAGTCTTTGATAGCCTCTTGAATCGTAAGTATTAGCACAAGCTCTCAGCATGGTGAGGAACAGAGCCTCCAATCCTCGAAGCATCATTGCTTCAACTATTTGCAAACCTGTATTTAGATCTGTTTATGATCAATACTTTTCTGCTATTTTGAAACTACAGGGCTATTCTCCATTTGGAAATGTTTTTGTGGTCTGCAAAACCTACCTAACCCTTTCCAGGCTCTGTTTCTCTCAGCTAACATTTCCTATTATATGCTTGACTAAATGGTGGTCTAATCCAAATGGCACAATCAACAGAATCCAGAACCCTTTCATTCGATTGATTATGAAGTCATATGATTTTGAGCTCCTTTAATCTCACCTCTGTAGAGTTCTTTTTTTGAAGTAAATGGTTTCATTATAAATAGTCAGATGAGACTGAACTACTCCAAGGTATGTTTTATAATTGTCAATGTCACATTGGAGTTTCCTGACAACATAAAATGAGTAGTGGAACTTAATGGTATAAATAAAGAAGTGGTTAAACAGCAAAAACAAAAAAAAATGAGTAATGTTGAACATAAAATTGTATATGATTTTTTGGTCATGTATTCATCAACTAGTTTCTGTGAGATTTACACATGAATAATATACATTTATAACTTAGTTGTTATAACAGCTATGCAAATATTTGAGTGTAATGTAACTTACATAAAATGCACACTAAAAAGAGGTTTAAGCAGCATTCTATGTGATTCCAGAAGAAGGAAAGGTCAATTCTTTCTTTAGAAAATGATTGCAGAGAAGAGACTGGGTAACTAAATTCCATGTTGAGGGGATACAAGGAACATAAGAATGGCAAGCACAGGGAATTTGGAAAGTTTAATATCATTAACAAAATAAGAATATACATAGGAAGCACACATTTGGAGCCATCTCTCATTAGTCCTTTCTAAGATGTCTTGGATTTTAAGGAACATATGGCACTAGGGGAGGTTGTTGGAGTGACAGTTGAATGAGATGACCAACCCAATATTTGGTAGCAGAATGAGATGACCAACCCAATATTTGGTAGCAGAATGGAAGGTGTGCTGAGAAGTAGATAAACATGAACTACATAGAATATTTAGAAGACTCCTGTAACAGTTTCATGGAAATATGCCATTGTTATATGAAAAAGAGGGATAACTATCAAAGATTAAGTTGACACAATTTTTGAAGGCTTTTTATGTGAGGATGGAAAGAAACAATTCTGAAGCTTCTAAACTTGATGCTTGGTAAGAAATGTTTTGATTTTACTGGTGAAAAGGGTAAGAGTCTTCTGGTTCACTAAACAGAAGGGAGTTATAGTAAGAACACATTGGTCTCATGTGGGTATTTGCAATTAATTTGTAAAACTCTTAAGGAGTGAAAAACAAGAAAGAGATATTAGTAGAAGGAATATTATGGTTCAAATAAATAAAACCATGAAAGAGAGGAAATATGCAGAGTTAAAACCTTTGGGAATCCTGATGATTCAGGAGAATGTGAAAGACCTGCCAGTGAAGCAGGATAAGAATATCATGAGAGACTAATGTAGAGAGGAGAAGTTCAGGGAAATGGGTGGTCCATTGGGCCAAATATTCAGAAAGGTTAAAGATGATGAATAACAGAAAACAAAAATTGGATTCAATAATGAGAAGAGAGTAGTAAGTAAATGGAGAAAGCAAGCACAAGCCAATATTTCAAAACAATTAGCAAAGAAAGGAAGAGAACTTTACAAAAATGATATCTGAGGTACACAGATTATCAACATATATAACAGTTTCTCAGAAGAAATCAGTTACAAATGATCCAAAAATGCATCTGAGTGTAGAATAGTGAATTTTAGATTAGTCATTTGCAACTTGAAGTATTTCATTTTAGGAATGTGTTATTATAAATTCCTAAAAGATTATTGGCAGTGTTAGAACAAGGAACACATGGAATATTTAGAAGCCACATCTGGGTAGTTTTCATTTATTTTTATCTAAAGATTAGCCAAATTCATCCTAATTTTTTTTTGTATAATTTCATATGATTTGAATATGTATTGGGTATATCCAAGGGAAATGTATAATTAAAAGTTGACTATGGTTTCACTTTAAATCTCTATTTCTTTAAAAAACACCAGAAACTAATTTATCATATCAATAACATGCATACAACTGTTGGTAATCTTAAAATGCAATTTTCAGACATTTCATTCTACCTGACTATTATTAAGATGCAGAGTAAATACAGTATGTTATTGCTTTTAATATTTGTCATGATACTATTCATTAATTAAGAATTGTTTTACATCCTCAAAAAAAATCACAAAATTCCAGAGTTTACAAGCAAAAGAACAATGCTACAGCATTTGCTTTTTTTTTTTTTTTTTTGCCTTAGAAAAAAGCTATATGGAATCTCCATATTTATGAAGAATGGAAAATGAGCAATATAAGGCCACTTAGTCTCAAAAAATGGTTTATTAAATTCTTTGTAGAATATTTACAGTCTCTGATTAGAAATGCCTCTTCTACAGATTCTTTTCTGCTAAATTCAATGCAAGTTGCAGTTTCATTTTATTTTTACAGTCAGGTAGTTTCAGGGGAATCATGACCAAATATTCTAGCAAGTGTTCCAGGAGGTGAAATCCATAAGTGTGAGAGGTTGGGGTGAAGCTTTCACCACCTGTTTGATTTAAAATACAGTTGGAAAGCTTGGGAGAATACCTCCTGAGAATCTGGATATTTTTCACTTGTTTGTGATTAAAAACAAATTTTAAAATGTCTCCTTTAACTGAAGACATTTAATTAAAGCTAAAGGAGAAAGTTAACCACTTAACAGCAGGGGTACCCATGGATACAAATGCTTCATTAATTGGGTAAAAAGAGCAGGAGAAAACCTTTTCAAAAATATTACTGTTTTTCTGAATACATTTCATTAAGTGTGTTTTTAATCAGTGATCAGCATAGACCAGGCTTCAAAACACTTGTGTAGCACATCAAAATAAAGGTACAGGATCCAAATCAAAATAAGACGTTACTTTTTTAAAAGATTTATTCATTTACACAAGAACCGGGGTACAGGCCAGATGCGTGAGAGGGTGAGAGGACTCACCAGAGACAGAGCAGAGAACAGAACAGGCAGAATGACAAAATACACTGCTGAAGGGAGCAGCGGGTGAGACAGGAGAGGTCTGCTGAGCAATGTGGGATTCGAACCCGCGCTGCAGAGGCTGCAGACAGCTTCACAGTTAGGTGCTCAACCGCCTGCACCACCAGGGAGGCCCACAACATTATTTTTTGTTATAAACATAGAACAGAAAGTATACGCTCATGTGTATAGCATATATTTCACTACAGAGCATAAACTATTCATTTATCCATTCAATCATTCAATCAACAATGATTTCCTATCTACAATGCTTGTGTTCCTATGCAGGATGGTGCCTATGAAGTAGCAAACATTGAGGAAACTCAATGACAGGGAGCTCCAATTCCACAGGAAGAATGACAAAACCCATTTCAAGACAAAGAGCTCTGGGAAGACCAAGCTAATTCAATTAACTCAGTCTTGAGAGGACAAAGAATGCTGCTATGGAATTTACTTTTATGCTTATCTATAATAATGAAGAGGAATTAACCAGACAAAGAGGAAAAAAATGTTAGTGGTAGTGTTAAACGATAAACTGGGGTGTATTAAAATTTTTGAGAGTTAATTTGAGCCAAAATTGATAAACATTACAGAGCCAAACTGGAAATAGTCAGCAATGTTTCATCTATAGATGCCCTGGGAAAGTCCTTGATAGAAAAGACGCAGAAGCAAAGCAAGGGCATTACTTGATCGGCTATAGCTTAAGCAGTTGCATTAGTTGGGAACATCTAGTTTTGAGTTTTTGTGTTGGTTGTTAAAAGGTTTGGATACCTTCACATTGAAGAATTTAAAGGCTTAGTATTTGGTTTTCTATAAAGGAGGCTAGGCATTCGAACCAGCTCAGTCTAATGACCTCCTTGTTGAATTAATTAAACCACAGAAGGAGGGTATAACCAGAGACTAGAAAGTATCAGGAACCACGGACTTCTGAAACTGCAAGTAATTCCATGTAGCTAGACAAGAGCTGAGTGAGGAATGTGGAGTGAAGATAAAGGCAGAGACTAGTGGTAGCTGCAGGGGCCACTTAATGAGAGACCTCATAAATTATGTTCATGAGAATAACTTTTATTTGAAAAATAATATATATAATGCTTGAAACCAACTGCAAATTTTTTTGAAAATTGATTATATTTCTTAATTAATTTATTTGAAATTGATTTAATATTTGGATCATCTACCAGGTATTACCACAGTAGTGCAACCACCACCAAATCACTGATAGTCTACTACCATAGACCATTGTGCTTCCTTTCCTCTTTAGGTATATTGCTTACATCTCCACATGAGGGCCTCCCCTGGTGGCACAGCAGTTGAGCGCTGGGCTGTGAAGCTGCCCGCAGCCTCTACAGTGCTGGTTCGATCCCTGGCTGCCTGAGAGTGTCCCACATGGCTCGCAGACCTCTCCTGCCGCTGCTCCCCTCAGCAGTGCACTTCGCCAGTCTGCCTGTTCTGCTCTCCGCTCTGGCTCTGGTGAATTCTTTCACCCTCCCGTGCTTCTGACTATACCCAGTGCTTGTATAAATAAATAAATATTTTTTTAAATAAATAAATATCTCCACATGAGGCCTCCATGGTGGCACAAGGGGTTAAGCACAGCACTGTGAAGGTATCCACAGCCTCTGCAGCACGAGTTTCAACCCCAGTCAGCCAGGGAGCTACTCACATGGTGCAGCAGATCTGTCTCGCCTACTGCTCCCTCAGCAGTGTATTTCAGTCAGTCCTCCTATTCTGTTCCCCTCTGTCTCTGGTGAACCCTCTCACCCCCTGCACCTTGGCCTGTACCCTAGTTCTTGTATGCATATATAAATAAATCTTAAAAATAAATAAATATCTCCACACGAAATATAAAAGAAACTCAATTAAGTGTACAAAATTAATTTTTTCCATCTATGAAAAGAAAGATTAGACTGGAAATATTATCGAATGATATACTTCCATAAACTATCCTAACAATGTCACAGATTTCATATAATAGATGTTTGAGAGTAAGTGATATTATTTATCATTCTGGATACAATCCAGCTATTTAACTCTTTTTTTTTTTTTTTTGTGGGACCCTTGCTGGTGGTTGGGGATCGAACCGGTGCTGCAGAGGCTGCAGGCAGCCCCGCAACCCAGAGTTCAACCACTGTGCCACCAGGGGAGGCCCCCAGCTATTTAACTCTAATAATGAAATTTTGAAAGACTCAAAGTCAATAATGATAAAATTGAATACTCCAAATGAAGTATTTCTAAGGATGAGGAGAAGTCAATTTTGTCTTAAGAATACAATCTTAATACCGTATATATGAGAGAATTCTTTAGTACATAATAACAGAACACCTTTTATACAAAAATGTCATAATAATCTGCAGCACACTCCTAACCCCAGCAAAAATGGATTTGGTGACCATGCTAATGGGGACATTTAACAATACTACATACATTTTATAATTTAAATGCTATTTTGGCAAAGTATGATTTTGTCTTCTTAGCTAAGAAATAAACTAAAGGTGCAAATCATCATTCACCTTTTTTTGAACAAAATGCTAGTAGAAAAATGAGAGAAACTGTCTTTTCAATTCACTCACCAAGCTGTTCCAGGAGAAATTCTAATCTAAGCAATAACGGGGGTAAATTCAGAAGTAGCAGTTAGTGCATTAACTTGATGGAATGAAAGTAGTCAGTATACTGATAATACTAAAAGAAAAGGATGAAATAATAATAAGGTAAAGGCAATGGAATGAATTCTTTAAAGCATAAAAAGTTTAGCTTCTGGTGCACTAATCACTAATGGCACAGATACTTCCCTTCTAACAAGATACACTATAAATATCACCTGATAAGTCTCAAAATACATTTTAACTTTAAGAGCTGGATTTTTACCAGAGATTCTCAGCCACATAATGCGATGTATCTTTTAAGATCAGTTATTACACATGTGCCATGAAAGATATTCTACAATTTGTAGCAAAAGCAGTTACGCTTTTGGAGATAAGATTCCTGTTTTCAAAGGGAGCAGATTTGCTTCAATGTTCTTCACTTTATTCTTTTTTTTTTGAAAGTTGTAAATATTTTTATCTTGTGTACTAGAGTGATAATGGTACTATATACTTTAAAACCAGTACTTATGACATAAAACAAATTTTAGAGATGTATTATAAATTTTTCTATTTTCAATTTCTGGTTACTTTGATTAGTTGGAAATTGAGCATAATCTTTGAATGGTTTCTTTCTGTGGGTATTTCTATTATTGTGTTAGGCCAGGAGGCATTCCCTTTTGGGTTCTGCCACTTATAGTTCCCTTTTTTTCTAATCTTTTTCTTCACTGCATCACGACCATGCAAAGACAAGGGAAATAAGAGTTTTCTGTTGTGACACCAAGACAAACTACTTTCAGTTTAAATATACTCCTGGCTAGAAAAATGCAATAAACCATGGTACCTATGGAAATACATTAAGCATTTCTTGAAGTTAAATTGAGGAATTTTACATGGACACAAATAGTGCATTTGTGTGAATGATTGGATTTTTTCCTTTGAGAACAATAAGAGTATATCAAAATTTTCCAGACCAACTCCCTGAAGTTGGGAAACATGCTTAATTTTAGTAAATCTATTATAGCCTGGAGAAAAAAAAATCAATAAAAAATGCAAATCAATCTACAGATGAAGCATGACCTGAGAATATGTTTTAATAAGTAGAATGCTCAACTTTTAAGCTTTTATAAGAGAATATAAAAGCTTTTATTTTATATTTTTATATTTATATAATATATAATATGTTATATGTTTTCATTTTATATATTTTATATTCATTTTATAAATAATATACAATTATTTTATATATTATATAAATACCTTTATGTATATAATTTATATATGAGTGTATTTTATATACATGTAAAAACTTATATTTATATAATATAAAAGCCAAGATATGCTTATAAAGAGAAGCAATTAATTGATGCCATTAATTAGTCATAAAACTGCTTTCATTTCATAACATCAGAATGTCTTTTACTTTGCTTCTCATACAAATTATTCATCATTTGGTCATTATATTTATCTACCATTAGCATCAGTACTTCTCATGATGTCAATAACATAGAGAAGTTAAACAGTATTTTTTCTTTATAATAGCTGTAAGGAAAGTATGACTTTTACAGCAGACAAATATCAAGGCATTCCTAAATATAGAAAGAAAGGAAAGAAGCAGTCAAATAATTATTTTGGATTATCTATCTATCTATCTATCTATCTATCATCTATTATTAATGAAAAGTGTCCCTGTTTGTGAAAGCAAAGTTGCCATGATCAAGATCTAATTAAAGAACTAGAAAAAATGTTCTAAAAAGCATTAAATATATTAAGAAAAATAAAGCAAAAATGAACAAAAGAAAGATGTCTAAACCAAACAGATATATTCCCATTGTACATTTGGTGACAGGTTATATGCTGAATTTGGCTACGGTATTCAGTTAGTCAATCACACACTAATCTAGGTACTCTTTTGAAGATATACTGATGATGTGGGTAGGATCTCCAACTTTCTGTCTGGAGATTAAGAGGATGGCTACTGCATTGACTGCCACGCTCTACCCTCTCCTGGCACAGTCTCAACCAGGTGTTTGATAAGAACAGAAATAATAAGCATTATTTTTCACTATCTCTGAGTACTGAGCTGAGAAAGCTTATTTACACAGATAGCTTAAAAATTGGTATGTGAATATAAAATGTTCTGTAAAAACTCCAGTTGGTGAAAATATGTATGTAGGATGGCTTTAACCAAAAGAGATTAACCTTGATAATGCGGCAGGAATCATCCAATCAGTTGAAGGTCTTAAGAACAAAAATCTAAGGTGTCCTGGAAAAGAAATTGTGTATAACTGCAGCATTGGGCCTCCCTGGTGGCCTAAGTGTTAAGAAATAGACTACCACCATGAAGGCACACCAAGATGGCCTGAGATCCCTCCCTAGCCAAAGAGTTAACCCACCTATGGCACAGCAGACCTCCTCTGTCTTGCCTGCTGCTCCCCTTAGCAGCGTATTTCAGTATATCCGGCTGATCTGCTCCCTACCCTGTCTATGGTGAATCCTCTTGCCCCCCACACCTCTGGCCTGTACCCCACTTCTTCTATGCAAAAATAAATAAATAAAATCTTTAAAAAAATTCTAATATATGCTCTTGGGCCTCCCAGCTTTCTGTATGGAGATTAAGAGGGTGGCTACTGCATTGACTGCCACCCTTTACCCTCTCCTGGCACAGTCCCAACCAGGTGTTTGATAAGAACAGAAATAATAAGCATTATTTTTCACTATCTCTGAGTACAGAGCTGAGAAAGCTTATTTACACAGATAGCTTAAAAATTGGTATGTGAATATAAAATGTTCTGTAAAAACTCCAGTTGGTGAAAATATGTATGTAGGATATGTTTATGTAAGTACATATTAAGATGTGTGTTAAGGGCCTCCCCGGTGGCGCAGCGGTTGAGCGCTGGGTTGCGAAGCTACCCACGGCCTCTGCGGCGCCGGTTCGATCCCCGGCTGCTCCCCGGCCACCAGAGGAGGGTCCCACATGGCGCGCAGACCTCTCCTGCCGCCTGCTGCTCCCCTCAGCGGTGTACTTCGGTCCTTCTGCTTGCTCTGCTCCCCGCTCTGGCTCTGGTGAATTCTCTCACCCTCCCGCGCTTCTGACTGTACCCAGTGCATGTATAAACCAAAAAACAAAAACAAATAATAAATAAATAAGACGTGCCTCTAGAAAATTAAAAAAAAAAAAAGTGTGTTAAGATATAACATCTTAAATATCAAATGATGGTAAGTATTCTGCACTTAGATAGATGTTACTTTTAGCTGAACATTTATAGAAGGTGTGGTGTATAAAACAGAACTCGATACAGGTCCTAAAGCACTTGTAAGACAGACAACCATATAGGAGATTAGGGGGCATGTTGTATTTGGGGCAAAATATAAGCAAAGTTTCCAAATTTGTTAAAAACTTTTTGATGTGATAAACCAGCTTTTGCCATTTTACAAATGTAAGAAAACGAAACAAAATACAACTTTGTGCTCTCAGTTCAGGCTCCCTGGGTGATCACACAGCTGCCAATAAAGAAAGGTTTGCTCGAAAACAAAAAGTAGGTATAAATTGCAATAAACAGTAACACTTTAAAATAATTGCCTAATCAATATTAATTCCTCTGATATCTATTTAACAGCATTAATCACAGTGAACTCATTTAGTATTAATGTGAATGTCACAAGTAATTCAATTGGATTTCCACTGTAATTCAACATTAATTACCTTAACTGAGCCATTATTTTAAAGTGTTACCCAGTAAACATGAAAATAAAAGCAATAAAATAATACATTAAAGAATTATAATG